GTAAAGCGCATAATACATACTTTATACGGTGCGATTCACCAAGTACATTCACCCCTTTTTTCTTCAATAATATTTTAGTTCTTAAAAACAATTTTTGAAAATTTTTAAATAGGCTTGAAGACCACAATTTAGTTATTAGATACCTTATAAATTCTTGAAATTTTAAGTGTTACTTAAGCAGATGTGTCTTGTAGCGAAACAAACTTCTGTTTTCTTAAATAAGAACTCCCCTCTTCAACTGTAAATAATTTAAACGATAATTTTATTGGCCACTGAACACTCTTTGAGGCTTAAGTACTACAAACATCTCAAACATTTGAAAACATGGTTTTAAATATATTTAAAAATGTTAAAAATCGGGATTTGAATAAATTTGTTATGAAAGGGAAAATGGGGGAGCGCAATGAGCATATCGATGGTATTTTGTTAGAAGGGAGCATACCAAATTTTACTTTTTTCAGGAAACAAATAAAACTGATTAAATATTCAATTTTTAAGATACAACATACTTTTATACATTATATTAAAGATGAGACTCCATGAAACTAAAATGTCTTATTAAATTATTTAAACTATATTTATATTTAATGTTATCTTAATTAAAAAAAAAAAAAAATGTGGTGTAGGCAATTTTAACCATTTGAATTTTATAAACGCCCTTCTAAAAACATATAATATTAGTGGTATAAGCCCTTTTAACATTTTCATTTCTACAAACGCCCTTTTAATTTTTTTACAGTAATTGTATATATATATATATATATACATTCTACTATATTGTATCTATTATATTGTTGGTTTATTGTTAACTGATAATATGAAATTGGAGGGAAATTTGTTATCAAGTATTACCAATACAATAGTGATGTTCAGTGTGTAACCTAGCAAAACCACTTTGTTCTATCTGGTAATATACAAACAGCAATAATCATAATTATTGTTACGAACTGGTGTTGATTGTAAACAATTAGCATGCATTAATTGTAGTATAAGCCCTTTCAACAGTTCTGTGTAGATTAATTTAATTTTTAAAAAGGCGTCTGCATATCTTGTATTCGGTATTGCAATCTTATTTTTCCGTAGATGTATACGCCGTTTTTCCAGAATATGTTCGTGATTTTTCTGAAAATTTTAATACCAAAAACGTATTTTTCGATTTTCAATGGTAAACGCCCAACAAAATACCATCGATATGTTTAATGAACTACACTATAATAATATGCGTTAAAAAAACCTTCATATCACAATAATGCAATCTATTTTTTTGTTTAGTTTGACGATTTAAATTTTGACCATACCTATAAAAACTACTCTATATACTCACAGTATATTATTCATACCATTGTAAATTGTTTATAAAACAGTATCATGGTTGGTCGAAACTATATTTTGTAAACAGTTTAACATTATGGTTTACGTTTACAGTTTTAACTAACTTATGAAATTTAAACGAATATTAAAGGACTAGGTACTTTTCCATTTACATGACATTTAAATAATATTTAAAATGACTAATAGGTCGTACTTCACCATACTGCAGATACTATAGAAAAATCCAATATATTGTATAATATTAACGGGTAATATTTATAATATAGTCAGATTTGTATTTATACATAGCTATAGTCCGTAATAATACATTATTTTAACATAATTAAAATCATGTCGAATAGTAGAAACTATAGGTAGTACATAAGCTAATACACAATGACCGTACTGAATAGCTTATACAATCCCAGTATAAGCCTACTGATCTTACCAAAAAAACATTTGACATTGGGATAAAATATGAAAGTAAAATATCCGATTTCAAAAAAACCTGATAAAATATCCAGGGTATTTAAACAAACAGATGGTACTAAAAAAAACTATTGAAAATAGCCTGTTAAAATAGTGAATATTAATAATTATTACATTACTTTTTTTAAGTCACATCAACAAAACATTTAATTTGTAAATGATTTGCAAGTGCCAATTATTATAATAAATACTAAACCAGATGAATCTGATTTTTTTTTCTCAAAACTTAAAATACACTTAACTAATTACCTCAAATGACTTAAAAATAGTTGAAATAATGTAAATAAAATATTTTTCAATAGTAAAGTTACTAACGTTTACCGTTACTACTTATTGCGATATATTTAATTAAAACGGTTTTATTCAAATTAAAAAGTGTTTAAAAAGTTTTAAAATCATTTAACATATATTATATTGTATTATTCAATAATTTACTGACTGCTTATGAAAGTTTCACTATACCACAGAGTTCTAAACATTGTGAGAATTCAAAAAACATTTCTAGTGTATAATGCGTTAATACGCATATTGTATATGACTAGCAAAACTTAAATGTTAATATATTATTTACAACATAACTAGGTAGGTACCTATCCATTACCTACCTATTTTATTAGTTAATAATAGTATATATCGATAATAGCCTATATCGATGACCGTATATATCGATAATCAAAATATATCTGATATTCCGGGTTACAAATAGCACGGGATAACTGAAAAATAATTATTTTGACTATTGACTATTGAGTATTGACAATTATGATAGTCATAGAGAAATTGGAATATCGATATCGATATTTCGATACATCGATACCTACTTTTTTTTTCTATATCCATATTCAAAAATATATCGTTGAAGAAGCCTAGTTAGAAATATTAAAATTTTAAACTAATAGACAGGAACAAAACAAAACATAAATATTATAATATAGTGGTAAGATAATCAACGATGTTTTAAATAAATAACGTTATTACAGTATATTATAATATTAAGGATATAGATAGGTAAAAAAAGGCCCAAATAATAATATGTGTTAGATAGTTGTTATATTATATTTTCAATAGAATATAATATAACAAAATAAAAATAATCAAACAACAGCTATGGACATGGCGTACTTAGTGAACAATATTAAATGTCTATCATTTATTCAATGATAATAATACACGGTAGATGTTTGTCGACGACAAGTACGCCGATTAGAAAGCTTAGAAATTCTTAAGCAGTTTATTTAAATTATTTTTCCAAATGCCCGGATATGGGGCATGAGGCCCTACTCAGTTGGGGCCCGGGATGCGATTGCATCCCGTCATCCATTGCCAGCCCGCCACTGCATGGACGTAATTTATGCATATTCAGATTTTCATAACGATAATTTGTGAATGCAGTTCGATAAAAATCTAAGAATTTATAAATTAAACTATAATATTGTATAATAATTTATTATCTGGTTGAATTGTTTAAATATCAAAATATAACACTATATTATAATGTTATTTATTTACATCACTACGGTTTACTAATAAACAGAGTACTCTCAATAAAATATTATTTTGTTGTACGCGCGCGTTGAACTCTATTTTCTGTAAAAATATGTATTTTTCGAAAGAATTTTTGATAGGAATTTCCTTCGCTTCTATTGGTATAGCAGGAGTGTCTTTCCTATTGTCAAGGAGAAAAAATCCAACTACCCATGGATATGGGATGAAAAACATGGAAGACTTCTTGGAGGTAAACAAAATATAATACATAATATCATGTATATGTTTATATTATAACAATAAACGTTTAAATTCTATAATATTTGTCATTTTTAGTATAACCAACATATTAATTAGTTTCGGAGCAAAAACCTTGTGTGACTGGAGTGCATGCCTGCAGGTTTTTGCTCTGAAATGTAATAACCTGATAAGTCCATTTTGCTTATATTATCTCCGTAACTAATAATCGATAACGGTTTGTTACACCGAAATGTGTACCTAGTTTATTTCCTGATCAGGAAACCACAGTAAAAATACTTTTTTGAAAAAGGGGACATATCAGGTTTTGCACAGAAGGATTCCATACTTTTTAGCTTAGATAGGTATAGCCGTATAGGTAGGTACAAATATTTACCATAAGTGCCAATTTAGTGCGAATATATAATAATATAGTACCTATTTATATTAATAGGACGAAAACGATAAGTTTTTCGATGCGGAATCGAAAAGTTTTCGGTCCGTGTCCGATGATGAATTCGTAAGTTGTCGGTCCATGTGCAGTGTGGAATCTGTAAGTTTTCGAACCGTGTCCGATATGGAATCTGTACGTTTTCAGACCACGTCCAATGAGGATTTGAGAAGTTTTCGGACCATGCCCGATGAAAACTTGAACGATAAGTGATAACACAAAGATCGTAAAATCAATAGGAGGTCAGTTTTCCATATGATATTGAGTATAATATTTTAATTAAAACTATTTTCATATAATTCCATACTTTCTAGAACTGTATATGGACGCGGTGGAGAAGCAGGCGTTCGAGGACCTACAAGTATAAAACTAAGAACGGCTTTAGAACAATCGAATGTAATCATATAATATCGCAGTGCTGATAAACGGTTTTGATTTGATTTTCAGCATAACTTTAAAGTGGTTGAAATGAATTGTTTGGAGTTGAAACATCACGTGGCTGACGCAATGTCTACCTTCCAACAGACGGCCGACGATCAGCGCCTATCGATCGACAGCCTGAAATTAGAAGTATCTAGTCTTAAAAAAGATTTGAACTGTTTGACCTCCGATCTGCTGAAAAATACAGAGATGCCGTCCACGGAAAGTAATATTATATAATATATCGACCTGACTATACCCATAACAGTGTAATACATTAGTCGTTTTCGTTCGTTTAGCAAACACCGAAAAACCCGACTGCTGCAAGCTACGTAGACTGAAGACAAGGGTCTCGGTTCTTGAAAGTAATATAATATAGAAAAATAACGGTTAATAGATAATAAAGTACCAATGACGTGTGCCCGTGTAGGTGATGTGACGAAAAACTCGATAGATATCGTTGGAATAAACCACATGCTGATGTTAAGGTTGGCGAGCTCGGGGGCTGCCGCTGAAAATGATGTGTCGGCAGGAGAAAATCTTTTCGAGCTGGACACTCTGAACGCGCAATGCCACAAACCTACCTCGCCGACGACGTCCACATCCTTTACACCTGTCGCAGGCCCGCCTCCTGCGGTAACCTCGGAACATTTTTGGCCGCCTCCTCCACCTTCTGCAGTAACCTCGGAAGACTTTTGGCCGCCTCCTCCACCTTCTGCAGTAACCTCGGAAAACTTTTGGCCACCTCCTCCGTCTCCTGCTGTAACCTCGGAAAACTTTTGGCTGCCTCCTCCGCCTCCTGCTGTAACATCGGAAAACTTTTGGCCATCTCCTCCGTATCGTGCTGTAACCTCAGAACATTTTTGGCTGCCTCCTCCGCCTCCTGCTGTAACCTCGGAATACTTTTGGCCATCTCCTCCGTATCGTGCTGTAACCTCAGAACATTTTTGGCTGCCTTATCCGTATCATGCTGTAACCTCAGAACATTTTTGGCTGCCTCCTCCGCCTCCTGCTGTAACCTCGGAAAATTTTTGGCCGCCTCCTCCACCGCCACCGATGGACGACCGGCACGGCGGCGTTCCACAGTAAAACCCTGCTGTGCAGAAGCCGTGCGCATCCGTGCGTGGAGCCTAGGGGAAAGAATTGCAAAAACTTACTTCCGTGTTTCCATAACGGAGGAGAGTTTGAGGGCCGTCGTCCTCAAGCCTGTTGCCCGTCCGACTTGAAGAGGAAAAGATCTTCAAGTTTAATTATCTAATGTATAATGTATTCCATTTGTGTAACATATTATGTATTAGGTAAGTGTATTTCTTTGCATCAATTAATAAACCTGTTTAATAAAAATATACCCGAGGTATTTGTTTTATAATGTAGGTTTTCAAATTACCGTTACAATATTATTATGAGTTATTAAAGTCTCACTATAAGACTTTAATCATTTTTAAGTCCTGAAAAACTAAATGCATAATAGGTATAGTTAAGAATTTTGATGGAAATGTGGTCATATAACCAGTGTTGGGACTTATTTAGATAATTTATCTAGATAATTATTTAGTTATCTTTTATCTTATATAGATAAATAGTTGTGTTTTATCTAAATAATTATCTAAGATAAAAAATTCATCCATGTAGATAAATTCGCCTCTATACAAAAAAATTATATACACTTTTTACTGTAGTATCTAAGCTGAACTGTCAAATACGTTACACTTTATAATAGTATGTATTAAAAAAAAAAAAACATCTTTTTTTTATTTAAATACAAATGTATTTATCTTTAATCTTTATCTAGATAGATTTGAATTTAGTTATCTTTTATTTTTATCTAGATAAAAAAGTACTTATGTCATCCCAACACTGGGATATATATGCATACAAAGTATATCTATATATTTAAATGTGAAAATGAAAACCTTTTTGGCCTATGTCCTCGGAAACTATATTGAACCGATTGTTATGATTTTTTTTTTTTAATTAAAGAGCTCATTGCAGAGAAGGTTTATGGTATTTGATCGATTCTCTAACTTAATAAACAAAGGATTATAACTAATGGCCTGTTACGTAGACTTGGCAAGTGGCAACATGGCAAGGGCATGTACCAGTTGCCCCCAAAAGTACCATTTCTATACCAATTCACCCAAACTACTTAGAGTAAAATGTACCAGTTGCCCTCATATGTAAATATATATACGATTAAAATATATAGCCCTTAAAATAGGGTAGGTAAATATGCAAATAATAATTATAAATAGTAATTATTATAACAAAACATAGTACATAATATTATATCTGATTTATTTGCTTTTTTTTTTTTTGAAAAATTATTCCCTTGAATGTCACATAATTATAATATTTATTATTTTATAGACTAGTGTATTTATATTATTTTGTTAATAATTATTATTTATCACAAAATACAATATTAGGTATATATTCCAAGCATATAAACTGTTTTCTATAATTTTATACTATTTTAAATAATTGTATTTATTATTTGTATATTTACCTCCCCTATTCTACGGACTATATATTGTAATCGTGTATATAGTATATATTAGGCTGAGACACGATTGAGCATAAAACACCTTTTTTACGACACGATTGAGCCAAATTGTCGGCGTATCAAAGGAAATCAGAATACAAAAGAAAACTTACACGATTGAGCATAAAAAACTCTGCAACGTTGCCATTTTCCATTTTAAATACTATATTATATAAAAAGATTTATTTAAATCACTATTATAATTCAAAATATAATATATCAACAAAATTACATAAGAATAATGATGATGATTATGATGATAAGAATAATAATAAAATATGGTACGAATTAAAAAAAATACTGCATGGTTTATAACTTTATAAGTCAAGAATACTATAGAGCAGGGGTCTTCAACCTTTTTATGCAGCGGGCCACGTATTATTTTTTAATAATCTTGCGGGCCGCATTCGTAGTAAAAACATGTATTTTATACAAAAATTCAGTTTTATTATTAAAATTTTCAAGATTACATTTTAAATTAAAAATTATTATTATTATTATTATTATTAAAACATATATAGATTTTAAATTACAAATTATTATTATTATTATTATTATTATTAAAACATATACCTATAGATAAACATTTTTTGTTAATTACAAAATTTAATAATTTTATCGAAATAGAAAATATACATGCTTAATTTCAAATGTGATCGCGGGCCACATATTATGATAGGGCGTGCCACAAGCGGCCCGCGGGCCGCGGGTTGAAGACCCCTGCTATAGAGTATGGGTGATCGAACACTGATATTATTTAAATGATAATTTTGGAATTGTATTTTAATTTATAATCTTGTGTTTTCCTTTAATTTTAAATTTTTAAAACTTCGTAACTTTATTGCTCCGGAACTAATTTATTAACCGATTTATAAAGCTGGGCTCAGCTCACGACTCGCGCCTGGTATCATAACAATTATTGGTGCAATAATATGCGAAAACAATAAATTACAAAATTTCGGTCATGTAAATGTGGCAACATCGCATAAAATATTCTATGCTCAATCGTGTTGCTAAAAAGGTATATGCAAAATCGTTTTATGCTCAATCGTGCTTTACCGATATATTAACATGTAAGGGCAACTGGTACATTTGATTGAGGGCAAATGGTATATTTTTTAAATCCTGATAACAGCCGTGGGGCCGTGGGGCAACTGGTCAACACCCCAAGGCAAGCATTCTGGGTTACCTGCTATACAATAGCCGAAGACCGTCGACCGCAGATAAAACTATACGACGGATCCAAGGAACGAAAAATGAGAATCATAAAAACTGCAGTTCTTATCTCTGTCTCTCTCGCACTTCGCATACAACCAACGCGTGCGAGTGATCCAAAACTCATTTTAAAAACTACATACTTAAAACAGCTCAATCATGCTACGAACACTACATTTATACGATTTAATTACTGTACACAGTTAAGATCTTTAAAGAATGCAAATGGACGAATTCTGATTTACACAACAAAGCAGTTTAACATGTGGTAAAATTGTGGATTTTACAACACAACTAAATTCTCATAAACTATAATTTATAACTAATGTAATTTAAAGTATGTACTAAGTTTTACATTGCAATTTATTATTATTTGAAAATAGAACAAGAGTGATAATAAATGTATTGATAGGATACATTAAAATGTTCAATTTCGATTTGGCAAGTACCTATTGTGCAATAATTCATACTTACCAAGTACCAACTTCCTATTATTTCAAATTTTAAAAATTAAATTACACGCATTTATAAAATGTATATACATTCCATCAGTGCCGTAGCCAGACATTTTTTTTGGGGGGGGAGGGGGGCATTTAATTTTTTCTCTAGTTTTTGAAATGCTAGAATATCTAATTATGACCCCTTAGTTCATAAAGTATGTTGATGGCTTAAAGGCCATATAATATGATATGTCACAAATACCAAAATGTTCAGGAGAGCCATTAAAAGTTTTATTATTTTGCATATTATATAGTATTACCTATAGTTTTTTTTTAAATGAAAGTTTTAACTTATGTGTAAACTTGATATGGTATTTAATTTACTATATAAAATTAATTTGCTAGTTTAACTTTACTAAAACTATATATTTTTTTTTAATTTATTTTTTTTTGGAACTAGAATGGACTTATTACAATTAATGGTCATTATTATTATATCTTGCTATGGACATCATTTCATTTATCAGTTTTGCCAAGTAGTGTATGTCCGGACATGTTACATTTGTCCGCTTAAAGCCTAAAAATAAGCACCAATGTTAATAAATCTACTTAAAATAATTGTATGTCACTTCATTACAATTAAATCAATAAATTCATCGCTCCACTCAGAATCAAAAAAATATTTAATCCGTCAAAAAAATGTGAAACATGGTTCCTCGTAAGTTTTTGTTAATGGAAATCAAAAAAAAATTGAGAGTGAATCCACAGTATTTTTTGTAAGCAACTGAAGTCAAAATATTTACAAAATTCATCAAGCACACGAAAATTGCTATATTATTTCGATTTAAAAATTCATAAAAGTTTTAATTTTATATCAATAATATTCAAAAAGTTAATACCTGATTCTTCATAAGTCATACTACTTTTAACAAAAAAAAATGTCAACCAGAAAGTCATATTAATTTTAATGAATGTTTGAAGTTCAAATATTTACAATATTTTATATTCACTCGATTTCTCTTGGAGCGATTTTCTTATTTTATTATAATTCAAAATTCAAAAACAATTAACGATACGATAGGTACTTGAAACTTACACCATATGTTTATTTTATCATTTTATATACTTGATAAAATAGTTTCAAAATATTACGACTCGTTTTGAGGTGTTTATGGGCGTTGTATATTATTAATTTTTTCCAGTTTTTTTTCTATACAATTTAATAAAATTGAATTAGTTTGGTCAAAAATTTTGCAAACTTAATATAAAGTTGCTAATACATTGTTGCAGTAGCAGTTTAAAAATATTAAAAATACACATGCACTATTTTTTTTATAAGTATTTTATGTTTGAATTTTAACAAATTTTATCAAATTGGCAATTTTATTGATCTTGTATATGGGCAGCTTTAGAGTTTAGAGTGACTTTATAGACACCTTCAACTGTGGTTACTAGTTTTTTTCTGTGATAATAAAGATTTCTAATAATAATAATTATTATTATTATTATTTATTCAAGGAAAAAAAAATTCCAATTACATAATATAAAATATAATGACAGTAGGGTAAATTAGTTCCCATGCGGTCATATTTAAAAAAAATTCTACAGACTCCTACATTCGTTTGATTATTAGTCACATCACTTGGCTCTGTATTAGAACGTTTGTTGTTGTAGGTTAGGTTAGGGTAGGTTATCTAGATTCAGGGTCCATGGATAACAAAATAACGAAAGCTAAATTAATAAAATATACGAGGCACATATTATTAAGTAGTTTTCTTATTATCTGATAATATATAACATGACAAAGTAAATTATTGTTTTAGAATTATGAATTGGTGGTGTGGGGGCAACAGGTCTTTGTGATAAAATTTAGGTGGTGCAGGTGGTCGAACATCTATATTTTGCCTCACTCCACCACTGCAAGGTAGTACATCGTACACGCACACTAGATAATAATAATAATAAATAATAACAATAATAATAATAATAATTTATTTTTGCAACGTAAGGATATCATACAATTATTTCACAAAATTTAGATTAATATATTGCAGTACCCCCTAGATGAAACAATACTCTCTATGTATAACCTATAACTGTATAATATATTAATATATAATATATATTATGTTATATAATTAAATCACTGTAACGCAAACCATACACTACCCTACCCCGCCGACCATGTAACACCGTCAACTAGTAAAAGGTCTATGACTAAAACACACCTTTACTCTGTGTATGCACAGTAATATATAGTATTTGAAAGCTAAGAAAAACATACAATTTTCCGATGGAGAATATGATTATGCTGCATGTAATAATATAAATGGTATACGTAAACAAATAGTGGTAGCTCATCGGGTACTTGACATTTTTAATGTACCTAGCTCACTTGGTGGAAAAGGTTGGCGACCCCTGCCTTAAAGTATGGCGTTCCTTATGCGTCGATGAGACTGTAGGTACAAGAAGTTTTGCTAAGCCGATTTCACATTCATAATAATGCCTAATTACCAGCCTCATTACCAGGAAGAAGGTATGCAGATTTAGTATGTAACATATTTTATAAATTTGTAAAACATCAAATCAATATACAATTTTAACTATAACTGCATATGATTTAATACAAAATAATATACAAATACAAATTTCAACATTATTTCTGGTAGACTTCCAAGATATATTTAAATAATCATTTCGTACCATTTGAAGAAACGTTTAATTACATTAACAAAATGTCCGTTTATTGAATAAATTATTGTCATAAGCAAATCTAAATGGCAGTCATCACAGAGAAAAAATATTCAAATTTTGGTTAATATTTATATAATATTTTGGACGGGTTTTATGAAATTATCCCACTGTGCACCGAAGCTCCTCATACGCCTTCAAAACAGAACATTTAGATTTGTAAGTATATTATTCTAATTTACTTTGGTCTTACTTATCTATAGTATTGAAATGATATTCACATTATTACGCCACAAAGCCACACTATATAATATCATTGTAATATTATTAATTATGTTATTCTTAAGACCTAATAAAATGACTGTATACCATATATATTATATGTACCTTGGTATAATCAAAAAATATGCATAGCACTTAAGATAATCATAAATATATAATATGACAAAATGTGCGTTAACAATAACACATTTTGTATCTATGTACCTTTTCAAATAAACAAGGTCAATTTTGATACCACGAGCAGTCTGCTCTCATTCACTCTGTCTGTTCCCAGCAGCTACGCCTGTCTCACAAAGCACACTATGATCAAATCTAGTTACAAATACTAAACCTTAACTTCACTTTACGTGAAAACTTATTAGTTTTTGAAATATGGTTCATTGTTCTTCGATAAAAGAATAAATCGTTACAGTAAATAAAAATAGAATGCCTAAAATGTTTCATAAAATAATATTTACATAGAATTAATTATATAATTAAGGATGCAAGACAAACTTGAAATTCTCTATCTTAGTGGCAAAAAGATATCAATTTTTTTTTAATTTAATAGTAAATTATATTATACGTTAGATTATTTCTTTTATTATGTATAATTTTTTTATAACACATTATCACTGAAAAAAAATATATGTTAATGTTTAGTATAATTTTAGATTCTGATCGTATGTATTGATATTACAATAATGGGTGTGTTTTCTTAAAACATTTCATATCGACACAAAAAAGATGTTCATACTTTATAGAAACATTTATTCTAATGCTTAATAATAGTTGGTTCCACAGATTTTTCAGGCAGGTAGTTAATTTTCTGGTCCGATTTATATAACATTTAAATTCCACCAATACTTTTTTTTTCATGTACAAATTAGTGGTAATTTTCAGGTAAATCAATCGTACCTGTACACTTTACATTCACAAAAGGTGTAATATGTGGAATTTACAAACATCCAAATTCATACGTAGGTGCATGATACGTATCTTGTTTATCTTCGACTTTTTCCGGTACTTGGTACACTTAAGAAATATTCAAAATAATCAAACTAACTTATCTCTGAATGTTAAATTGTACAACTTTTATTATTATTGTAGTTTGAACATTTAAATTAAAACGAATAGTTCAATTATATTGTTTTAATATCGGCAATGGTTATAAAAAATAAACATAAGTATTTATAAAAAGGATATCGAGTTTAGGAAAACCCAAAGGTAATTTAATTTATAATTCATATAATTATAATTATCAATAATATTAACTATGAAAAAAAGTAATTGATGAGAATAAATACGTTGATACACTCTGTCCCCATATTACATTTAGGGTCGGGCTTTAATTGAATATTATCGTACACGTAATTTATAAGTAATTAATAATTATAATAGTCTATAATTTTTAACTATTATTATTAATGACGTGTTAAAATAATGTTTTATTGCCGAAGAACAATTTGTCTGGCTATCTAAATAAGTATACGTTCATAGTCATGTACGGTATTGATAAACTTTTATTATGATTACTAACATTATTATAATTTATAATTACCTTACTTCTAGTCACGTGCAATATACTCTGGTTAAATTATAATATTAAGCATATTGAGATGAGTAAAATTGTTTTTAAGTTATTATACTGTCATTAAATAAAACTTATGACTTTTGGCTATCAAATGTTAAATTTTTATATTTTACTTTTATCTTCAATAGTATTTTAATTAATTTGTAAAATAAATATTTAGAACGATCAACTACACATATATTTCACGGTCAAGGATGATTAAATTTAGATTGACATACATATATCAAATGTTTAACGAACAACATTTTAAACAGATTTTATATATCTAAACTATTATAATTACCTACATTTAATTATAAATAATATTTTATGCTAAATACTCATGCATAAAATCAAACCATAATATTATTATTATGTCATTTAGGTTAGGAAATTGTGTGTAATTTAGGAATAATAAATTAAAATGTAATACAACTATTGATAATTTTTAGTCCAGTTTCTAAGCGGAGCGATGAATATAATATATTGATTTTACAATAATATGTGTGTGTGTCTGTGTGTGTGTGTGTGTGCTTGTGTACACGTCTTATAGTGGAGAAAATGAATCCACCTTCAACTACGAGGGTGGTTTCTGATAGCAAATTAGATCTAGTTGGTACTTTTGGTAGGTCAAAAATAAATTTGGAAAATACATGGTCGCGATTTTTATTACAAGCATTTACATTTTTATAAAAATCATCAAAATAATGGACATTTTAATACTATTTTGTAATAAGTACCTATATTAGGTACCTAATCATTCAATTTTAAATTTTATCACCTGAGGTCTCGAAATTTGATACCTATGAGGATGCTTCATAAGTTGGAATAATATATCAATTGGAATTTTAAAGTGTAAAGTGCAAACATATAACATATTTATAACTATTTCGTCCTCAACCAATTTTTGTTATTTTATTATAATAAACTAAAAAAAATATATTTATCGAAATAATGTAAAGAATTCCACTATAATAGGCTATAGCTATAAATAATTATTTTTTATACTGAATGCAATTTTTAAATTATTTAGACAAATTTCAAGTAATTTATAGGTATTTTAAATTATCAAATTTTTAGGCTGAGTCAAAAAGCTTGAAAATTGAATACAATATTATACAACATATATCGTGTTTATGATGTCCTTATAGCAATATAAAAATATTAATAATATATTGGCTCAATTTTTTAAAAATATTTGTTTGAATTATAAATTTTGTCAAAACCGCATGAACATTTGCTTATTATTTTTTATTGTTAAAACTGTACCTAATTAATATTTAATTTTTATATCTGAAGTTTGAAAATTGAATAGGTACAAGGTTTATCATAAGTAGTTCTTATTGAAACCCAAAAATATAAATAATATAAAATTTCTATTTTGTATAGATATTTCTATAGACATTATTATAAGTTAAAATTTAACGAAATTGGATATTTATAGACCGTCTGTCTCCGCTCAGAAACGATTTTTTATACAATGGTATATCATTGTATTACAATTATTTGACACACCCATCACAGTGACCCACTGGACGGTACCTACCCACTTACTCAACTGTTATATAATTAAAAGTAGTATTCAGCCTTGAAGTATATTCCCTTAATATTCTATGACAAGGACTATGTCTAATATTTCTCAAAACTTGGACACAGTATATGTGTTAATAAATTAAGTATCGCGTAAAACTTACAACACCGTTTCACTCATGCATAAAATGAATATTAAATCTAAACCTATTTATTTTTTTTTCATTTAAAAATGCCAATCAGCTAAAGTGTAAATGGGAATAAATATAATCGTTATTTTGTGAACTGTGCATTTTTTTTTCCTCTAGATAACAATATGCATATTTTTATAAACATCTACCTAAAATTGTATGAATGCAAATACTATTGAACACTTATCAACACATTTTTTAGTAGGTATATAACGGGGCTGCACTATTCAAAGATTATCATTCAACAGTTGTTTGATGCAAATTGAACAGCTACCAAACAATTCTTTTACCATGAAGCTGTTCGCCGTTGCCGTGATTGGATTCGTAGCCTTAGCTGGCTCACAAGCCCGTAAGTATTAGCATAGTTTCAATCAATTTATTTGATTTGTTAATTTTTATAATAGTTGACTTGATATTAGTTATTGTTTTAAAAATTAATTCATTGTTTTGTAATATAATATTTTTCAAAACTTAGTTTAGCTATATATAATAGAGTTATGACATATAAGCCAACAATATTAACTTATTAAATTCATTCAAGCAAACTTATTTTTTAAATTTATAATTAGCCAATAGATAGTTTAAAATAAATGCCCTTATATTATAATAAAAAAAGTTATTATTATTGTGCATTATTGTTCTAGTTAATGATAACAACAATAATAAATTTCTAGAATTTAATTTAATTTCCTATTATGTATCATCAATAAGCATTTTATTATATTTATTATTTAATTCATTATTTATAAACATACCTTGGGTTGTATTGCAGGTACCTAGTTTGTTATTTGTTAATTTAATATCAATAAAAATCAATTTAAAATTTAAATTAGTAAAAAATTGAATTAAAAGTTAACATTAACTTAACTTAAGCTTTTTAACTCGTTAAAAACTGAATTATTTTTATCAGTGTAGTAGTTTATATTGTTGTTTATTCTTTGTAACCTGTGTTCAATGTTCATAACTATTTCTTCATATAAAATAATTTTAAGAGATTAAAATATTCATGACCCTATAAATTTGCAGTAACATATTTTTATAAATTGTTTCTTTTTGTTCGGTTCTAGATTCTACTCATCATCATCATCATGATACACAAACTGAAGTTGGACATAACACTCAAGAATATACAAATGATCGTTATGACCAGTACAATAACAACAATGGTGAAAATCAATACCAACAACGCAACGAAGAATTGAACCAACAACGCAACAACAACCAAGAAAGCTCTAACGAGAGGTTGTTGAACAATCTAAACCAACAGCGCAACATCAACCAGGAAAGCTCTAACGAGAGGTTTTTGAACAATCAAGACCAACAAAACAACCAAGACTTGAATGAGTTCAGTGAGTCTAACTGGAATATCCAAACTCCTATTCGTTCGGTGAAGAAGAACAGTCAAAACCAGGCAATTAAAACCAACAGCCACGAGGTATTCCAAAGCGAGAACCAGTGGAGTAAATCCCAGACTTCCAGAAACTTCAACCAACAAAGCCAAGAGGAAGTTAACCAACAAACATTCAACAACAAAAACCGTGCAAGTCAAAACTATGGATCATCAGACTCATCCGAATCAAACTCCCAAGATGAATACGTCAATACCAATGATTTGTCCAACGAAATTGGACATCAGGTTGCACAGAAAATGGTTAGATTCTTTACCATCATGGATAAATATACTGCAAGTAACGGAACCATCCAAACCAACCAAGCTCACGAATCATTCGCCTTAAGACAACACACTATGCCAATGGATCATCAACAGTACCTCAATATCAACGAGAGCAATGTATACGGTCTCAACCACGGTGTCATCAAGTCCATGTATTTAAACACAGAGAGGAATTGTGTAAGTAGAAACTAGTTTTTGAATTGCATTTTTAACTATATATCAATAGGTAATAATATTTTATACATTTTGTTAGGTCGATTTGGAATACTTCTTTCAAAGTTTGTGGGTGAAAGCTAAATTCAACGCCAAGGAAGGACTTAAAAAATCTTTCATTTTGAATATGTTCAACACCGACATGAACGTGTCTACCGAATTAGAAAACTCCAACCGCAACTACGCCCATTCCCGCAATGGAAATGCCCAACTTGTGTTCAAAAACATCGAAGACTCTTCAGATAACCAATTGATCAAGGACATAATTGAAAACAATTACGCTAAACGATTAATCTCAGAAATTGAAAGTGAAATAATCCGCAACTCTTACAACGGTTTGGTCGGATGTTTGAGATCTGAACTCGAATCTACCTTTGAAATGCCATTGAACAAAAAACTCAATTTAGACTTTGAAAACAAGAAAACTCAACTCTCCGTCTCTTTTGTAAGATCCGACTCATGGAATGACGATCAATCCAGCTATCAATTCAAAAAACAGAAGACAGTTCAGTACGTCGCTTTCCGTCAAAACCAATCCGGAAACGGTTACAAATTGAAAGTCAAGGTCTTGTTGGCCAAACGGCCCACATGGGAATCCGACATTGTTCTTCAAAAATTAAACCACATCAACCCAATCAAGATAAACAACGTAAAATTCTCCGCTCAAAACATTGTTGCTAGTGCCGTCATGAAACGCGTACCACTGGATAACGGTGCATACAAATTCGACGTCGAGGAAGCCAGCTTCAAATTGGAAGGTCTCAGATACGATATTGGAAAATTCGACCTACCAAAAAACACTAACGAAAAATTAGTAAGGGAGGTTGGACAAAATCTACAGAAAATCATGGAGAACGGCATGAGCGCTGCTCTGCGACAACAGTTATACAAACAACAACAAATCTGCAAACAACGCCCAATGGACTGCAACAGCTGCAGCCGAAACCAATTCAACCAACAATAAACAGCGAAATTGATTAATCATAATTTATAACATAATAATATGTGATTTCATATGTCGTCTATAAATGAAAAATAGCAATAGAAAATATTATATACTAATTATAATAAAATAGAGAAACCTTCTTCTGTTCTAAAATAATATTGTTTCATTTTTTTTATCTAAATATTGGTTTTTACTTCAAATTGTATTTACAAACGTGTGTTTGATGAAATTAATTATCATATTTTATATCTGATAAACCTCGTCAGGTCTCGTCTGGTTAAATATATATGGCATATATTAGGTTTATGTGTTCATAGCCCATAGATCTCTTTCATTTATTATAATATTTTATGTATTATTTAGGTAGGTACTGTAGTAAAAATATACAATGATCGAAAATAGTGATAAAAAGTACTTAATAGATAATCACCTATTAAAAAATATGTTATATTTATTCAATGAAAAAATATATAGATATTTAATTGAAGGTACTAAGGTAGTTATGATAAAACTATAAAAGTATAATAATATGCATGTATTGTTTTGTTGTATTTAATATTATAAAATATTATTATTTTAAAATAATACAATCAAAAACTTTAAATGTACCTAAACACATACGAGATGATTTTTCAACATAAAAACTAGGTAAGTATATTATATTTTCCTAATTTATCTTTTACGATTTGGACAAAAATTTTTTTTCATTATTTGAACTTAACACTACGCATTCTATACAAAAATAAATCTTTTTAATTTTTTGTTTATTAGGCTGTTTTTAGATTTTTTTACAGTTGGATTAGTTATATAATATCCTAACTTCTAAGTATTTGATATTTAAAAAATGTAAAAAAAACAGGAAATCCTATCTTAAAAAAAAAATCGAATTATTTTATAAAAATTGCGAATATAAGTACCTACATAAATTCTAAACTAAAAACAGTTCAAACAATATAAAATCTAATTTTAAAAAAAAAATATAGAAAATGAGTATCTTATGCTTTAAAAAATAACATCATATCAGTAACAAACTACTAAATACTTTTACTAATTTGTTTTAAATAAATTGTTTTTACACTTACCTTAAGCGCGTAAACACATTGGTGCTGTATCTAAAAATATTATATTATATTACGTTCATAATAATTTTTTTGTTGGCCACGTTTATATTTTGTCCTAATCATTGATTTATCGTTTCAATGTTTTCGTTTTTGTAATTTTCAAAACCTTATTTTCACATTTTGACCTTATTACAGTTTTTATTTTTTGACTGCATTTTTATCGCAAATAAGTGGATGACGTTCGACTATGTAATTTATGTATTTAGGTATTTCTATAATAATACCAGCTGTCAATATCTACTACCTACGTGTTCTGTCGTGTAACGTTTTAAAGTTCAAGAGTATTATTATGCAATATCGTTTGAACGAGACATATTAAATTATTAATATAATACATACAGTAATATTTCTATACTTTATGGCACATATTATTAATATTTATAATATAATTATGTTATAGTATATATGGTACTTCGATGATGATAATAATAATAATAATATATACACGCGTTACATAGGTATATGGATATACCGCGGTACATACGCCAACGTTTGATTTCAGGTATAAATAAGTAATAACGAACAAACAGCGGGCGTATAATCAATGTAAATAATTATTTAAAGACATATGCAACAATTAAAATTACAAATATGTATAGTTATAAATTTCATTGTTATATATTGTTACTTATCACAATCCATCTTTATATTATCATACAGAACGGTATATAACATCCGCGATGTGTACAATATATCTGATTAAATAACAGCAACACTTAACAAACTAGGTATTAACATCAATAATCAACAACGTAAAATATAAATAAAAAAAAAACAATAAAAAAGCGCAGGTGTTTGTGCAGTCTATTAAACTAACTCGTTAATTTCGTCATTTTTTTTTTTATTCATTAACGATTATTATTATAATAATATATTAATTTAATTTAATTTTTAGGCGTACCTAAACATAACAATATGTACGGAGTTCTTTCTCCGTTTAGCAAAAACTACATCTGAAGCTTTTTTTGATGATATGAGTCTCAATATCCCTAACGTCATTACATATATAACTGTTTATTATTATAATATTATATTTAGGTATACACTATATACATATATTATATTATATATATAAAATCGTCTAAAAAAAAACAAACTAGCCTGACCATTTATATACCTATTATAAACTATACAATATTATTATTATGTATTTGTCCTTTTTCGACTATATAGGTAGTACTAATCGGTAAACGGTTCGGTTTATTTTTGACATTTTTTTCGACGGCTCAGAAACTGGACGAGTGCACATTTTATGTCATGTTATATATATATATAATCCATATATATATATATGCGTATACCTATTATATTATATTATTGTAGAACTGTTGCTATAGCACCAACCTCCCGCCTCGCCGCCAAACGACCTGCGCATGCTGATAACATAATCGCCTTAGACGTATCATGTCATCATGCCGTCAGCGGGTTTTCGGTGATTCTGAAAGGCCACGGCGAGCTGCGAACGCTGTCGTTGGACGTGGACTGTCTTATGGATTTCGATATCACTGCAAAAAAATGCCACGACCGTCATTATAGACAACGCTCGCGATCGGTCGGTCGGTCGTCGGCGGGTCGGCCAGGTCCCGCGGGCCCGACCACCCCGCCGATGAGATAATAATATTAAAACGATAGCGCGACGACGAAACTAAAAACATTATGTATTTAAAAAAAAAAAAAATTATGAATTATGATATAGTATATTAATTATAATTTATTTTTTTTTTTTTATGAAATTTACTCCAGCTGCGAACGCTGACAATATGACGACAGCGCATATAATATAATTTATAATAAATTGAAAAAATTCGTCGTATAATTATACAATAAAATAATAATCTATTATCATTTTTTAATATAAAATGATATTGCATGCGATTATATTATAATAATAAATTATTGTATAGACGCGCAATATTATAATATTGTGGGTGGCGTATATTTAAGCGGGTGGTTGGTCCCGCCCCAATCGAGTATACAGGGTGATTAACTCGTCGTCGTGTTTCATATAATACAAGACTTGGAGTAGTCTGTATAGTAATCTGGACTTATACTCCTAGTGACCACCCTCTCACTCCAGTTCCGAAACCCTACATAATATATACGCCACTGACACATTATAGGTACGTATTATATAGATACGTTGACACATAAACTACGTGTTCGAATGGAAGAAAAATAGACTCGTGAAATAAATCTATTCGACTAGCATGCACAACATATCATAATAATATAACGAAACAATAATAAAAGTATGTCTACATAAACTAATTAAATTAAAATTATACTAAAGCACACTTCTACTAGGTACCTTTTATGAGAAAAATGTTATTCAATGAACACCTTGGGGTGGGCAAATGCCGATAAAGGGTGTGTTATAATTCCTATATAGTCGGTTTACTATATAATAGTGCATAATTATTTTATCGCTCTAAATTATCTGACATTCAGTTTGATCATTTTCATTTTATTCGGGAACGCCAAAATTGTATAATACCCAAGTCATTTTAGAAGTGTTTTATTTTTTCACAATAAAATGTAAATAATTTAAAAATTCCAAATAAATTATATTGTTTTTATTGAGTAAATAATTTTTAAAAATATGTGTTTTTGAAGACCAATAGGTATAGAAAAGGTATATACCAATAGGTATCAAACAAATACAATTAATTAAAATTTTTATTTCAATATTTATAATACAAATTATATTTTATGTATATAATATTCAATAGTTGACTTCGGTGAATAATAATGAATCATCTACATACCTATTTTATATAAATCTAATTTTAGTACTGCTATAATATATAAAAAAAATGAGTATGTACAGTGTACACTATGATATTAATATATTATTATATACACATAATTAAATCAAGAAAACTTTTAATATATTTTAAATTGTAAAAATATTTATCTTCTAAAAGTTACTATACATATATTATTATATTTAATAAAAAAATACTGAAACTAAAGAAAAAGTTTGAAGTTCAACTTTCAACATTTAAACAAAAAATATACTCTCTACCTATGTCCTATAATATATCTGTATATAATATACTAATATACATAAAAATAAAAGCATATTTAAAATCATCAAACATTATCCATGCAAAATGTCATACCTAAACTATTATGATAAATAGTTATTAACCGGGATGCAAATTTACCGTAAGTAATTAAAATTTTTTTGTATACAATTTACCCATGGTTTCGTAGTATATGCTTGAATAAATTTGTTTTCGTTAATTTTGAAATATCTTCGGAAAATTTTTAATCGAACTCATTGTTTATTACAAATTCGTATCATTTTAGGTGAACCTATACGGCTATCCTGAATGTTTTGTCGGGATCATTATTTCTTATCCAAATTACCATTAACACCTAAGTTTATAATAACATTCTATAAATGTCTTAAATACAATTGACTTTTTACAACAAAATGTTATAGCTAAATAGCTTATTAATTATGAGTATAATAAAATTACTAAAACAACGTGAATGTATAAAATGTGTTTCACTAATTATTATTTGTTTAATAATCGGTTCAAAGTAAAAGAAACATTTATTTTATTGGTATATAGGTATAATTAATTGCTAGATATATGTTTGGAATATAACAAGTCACTATTACCTAATAAATTAAGCCAAGATATTCAAGCAATATTTTTAAAATTTAACTTTTGTACGTAATATACATTATGCACCAACCGATAGTTTAATAATTTTAATTAAGTCCACTCAATTATATAATAATATTATGTTCTCAAATGAAGACGACAAATTGTATATTTATAAATTCGTTTAGTGGTAGCCCAGCGATGATAATATTAGTATAATTATTTTAATATGATTATTATAACTTTGGTTGTTGGTTTCAGACTACTATACCTGATCGATAATTTATTAATAATAATATGACGCGATTATCGGTGCATATTGTAATCAAGGGAGTTTTCATCAAGCAATTTACGGCAGAATAAATTACTGTGATAATATATAATATTATAATATACCTATAATAACTAATAAATGCATAGATATTTTTAATACACACAGTTAGTTTCAACTAAAAATATGTTTAATATTATATCAAAGTATTTATCAAATAAATATTATTGGTATCTACGATTACAAATAATAATGCCGGATTTCAAAAAAATTATAATAAATAATTGCAATACAAAATTACACGATTAGAAAATATGTATTATATAATAATATATATTAATATGTATAGGTAGAGATTTTTTTTCATATATTATAACAAAACAAACAGTTATATTTCAATGATTTTTTTGTTTTTAAAATTATTTTACAACATCTCATTTAATACTAAAAAAATAGACGCGTATTTAATATTTATGTTTTGGTTTTGTCATGTTTTATATTATATAAATTTAATTTTAGATGTAATTTCAGTCTTGAAATTATCAAATATTAAATAGATTCAATTATTAAACGTCTGAACGTCTTTAGCGATTTAACGACTAAGGCTAGTACCGCCTTAACTACCTAATATTGTCATAATTTGTGGAACAGACTTAAACGAAATCATCATATTGCTACGTTGGACGATTATAAATTATAATAATATAACAATTTGATTATAGAGACCGTGTTATTTATATACGGCTAAAATAGTTAATTTCAATTTTGATTACTCAGGTGTGCCAGAAACGCGTTAAAAACGCGCTTGAACGATTTCGGAATCCATGCAAATGATAACTTTAAACATATTCTATGTAACGAAGGGCATTTTTTTTAAATAGATAAACTTAATATGTTATATACAAGTTTTTGCAATTTGATTTACATTGGTTATCATAAATAATTGTTAGTCATTGAGTCGCTGCGTAGGGGCATAATGCTAGTGAATTTTGAGCAATCGACCCGAACAAATCCCCATGAAAATAAAAAAAAATTTTATATTAACGGCTAACCCCCCCCCCCCCTAAAAAACCCTTGTTTTATTTAGTTAGGTCAAATCCTGAACGAATTATTTAAAATTATTGATGGTTTTGAACTTGTACACGCATACATAATTTAAATCTACATAAGCATGTGATGATATTTTATACTTATAAAAGTAATAGGATTAGTTATATAATAACGTGTGTTCGAAAACAAACAGCGTTGCATTTATATAGGTGTGTGAATAGAATACAATATGGGTAAGGCTGGACGTTAAAATTGACTTTAAGTTTTCCAATAATAATTTCGTGATAATTTAAGTTAATTTGGAATAAAAAAATAAGAAAATATATCCTGGTCGAGTAACTTTTTAATATCTGTTATTATAGAGGAAACTTTTTTTTAAATCGATAGTATCGGTTAAAAGTCTATATTGTTTTTATAATTTATTTTTCATCGTTTCAATATTGTTTTTGAACTCCGCCAAACAAAAAATATCAATATTAAATTTAGTTCTATAAAATCATTATATTATTATATCACAAAATATTATCGAATATAGAATACAAAAGTTTTATACTCAAAAGTTTATTTACAAGTTTACAACAATGACCGTAAGAAATTATAAGACAATTTAATACACGTAAATAATAAACAAATATTGTAATTATAAATATAACTGTAATTTTTATTTGAAATGCAAAACAATTATTATGTCACTTCTGAACGAAGAACTTATTAACACGTCGAAAAAAATCATCCATCTCATCATAAACTCCTTAACGCCCAGCCTCATGATTATAATATTCTGATACACGTTTTGAAAAAGTGAGAAAGTGAGTGAATTTTAAATATAGAAAGAGGGTGAGAAAGACGTAATGAGAGAGAGAGAGAGAGAAAGAAAGAGAGAGAGGGAGAGAAAGAGACAGAGATGGACAGAGAGAGGGGCAGAGAGAGAGAGAGAGACAGAGACAGCGAGACAGAGATGATGAGAGAGTACATATTGTATATATATATATATTATTATAAGATAGTATTTAAGGCGAAGATTATAAGCAAGACATCATTATAAAGTATAATATATAACAATATTATGGAAACGTTGAAAAACCGTTTTCTTCCGACAAGCATTTTATATTATGACACTTACGTGTTACAAATTTCGTTTTTCGAAGCTGATATACTTTTAGTCGATCAATTTGCCCGGTAGGTAGGAGGGTGTATTCGGTTTGTGTGTGTGTAGGTGTGTGTGTGTGTGAGTGTAGTGTAACGTGTGTGTGTGAGAGTGTAACTTGTGTGTGTGTGTGTGTGCGTGCGCTAACTATTCGTGCATCCGTGCGCTAAATGCATTAGCTAGTACATTTTTACCTTCAGCCGATCTGGATACGGTCAACGGTGGCCGGCCGAGTCTCACAGCTGTGTCGACCATCCGTTGACGGCCACCACCCACCGCACACCACATGTACGGGACAAAAAAAAAAAAAAACATGAAAATAAATAATATGTATACATTGGGTAGATACTAGATATATACGGACAGTGGCGCCGAACTCATGTTATACCTATCGTGTGACGCGATCGCTTGGTCTCTTAAATTTAGACGTCTGGAAAGTTGAGGTGGGTGGGTGGTGCAATAAAAATTTTTACATTCGCTTCACAAAACATATTTTCCGAGTTCGGCGCCACTGCGTAGGTACAGTTAATTTTTCTATATATTATGCATATATTAATATTATATTATCGTTTATTTTTTACGAATATTTATATTATATTATTACGACATGAGTACATGAAGCTGTGTAAACTATATTATATATACTCTACACACTGAGATATATATATATATATTATACACGTACACGGAGATTATTTTTGTGGTCGACACTACATTATGCATATAATATTGATCACTTCGAAAAGTGTTGAATTTTTTGACATTTTCTTTTGGTAAATATAGTATGCGGTTCGACCGTCTCATATGTCACCCTCGAGCGTGTCGGCGAAACCACTGGAGTCGAGTCAAATATACATATTTAATATATTAGTATATAATATGAATATTGAATATTGTATATTATGAATTATATATAGTGTATACTCGAAATACATTTTAAATTTCATAATTTCGTGGGTAAAAATGTTCTTGAAATATGATGTGGAAGTAACATAAGAAAACTGTACTAATTATTTTTTTTTTTTATTAACATAAGAGTTTGCGATTTTGCATTTTAGAAAATTATTCTGCTTCAAATTATGAAATCAAAAATATAGGTCATCGTTTAAAAATCAAATTCAATATTGTCGCTGAGGTCCCACCAACAAACACGAGGATTGAAATAATAAGGGCTGAATTATATAATATATGTTTTTAATATTCCAACAGAAAAACTGTTAAAAGAAGCACCATTATGTAAATATTATTATTATATACTATATTACAATTAATATTATTATGGCAATAGTTTATAATGTATATAAGTTTTTTGTCATTAAACTAGAGCAAACACACACAAAAAAAAAACATAGTTGACAGACATATATTTAATAACATTTATGAAAAAAAAAAAAAACATCGAAAACAGCATTATTAATATAATAGGTATTATAATAATACAATCGTGCAATAAATGATGACTGACTGTACAAGTCACACACACACAACACGTACATCATACAACAACAAGTCATTATTAAATATTAATATTAAACGTACATTTTTAATTAATAACAATCTTCCAGCCATAGGACGCGTGTGCGTTGGATTATTGCGTATTCGGCAGGTATAGGTATTATGTGTTAGCCGTCGTTTGACGGACAAACTGCGGTATAGAAAAAGTGGTTTCGCGGTAACGGTTATAAATTATACGCCTCGACACAACATTATAGAGTATGTAAATGTGACATCGCACGCTCCATGTGTGTATTAAATTATGTATACTATAATATATTATAATAATACAATATTATTATTATTACAATCGCCCCGTCCGAGATTTCGCTCAAAAAAGACAATTTTTTTTTTTTTATTGTTTTACTATTACGACGACAATCTAATATGATTATATTATTATAATAAGTTTAACGATTTTCTTGTTCGCGTGCGCATAAAACTAATAGGCGGGTTGGTAGATAAAATAATATGTGGTATAGTGTGTATACTAAATTATAATAAATACGAGCATTATCATATACACGTGTCGTTGTATTGTATATAATATATACATATATTATGTGTACCTACACCACGAGCAAATTTCATCGTGAAATAAGTGCAAACGTATATTTAGGCACGTTACACGATTTGAAGTCGACCGGCTTCAACAGCAAACCAAAAAAAAATTGATATTTATTATATATTATTAGGGCTCGGAAATTGATACTTTTGCATTTTTTTTTTTTTTGGTACTTTTTAGACGATGCTCTCCAGGCCATAAATGCGTTTCAATAATAGCATGTGAATTTGAACAACTAATTTTTATTTTGCTTTTTTTTGAATTTTTTGGTGTTTATTACTGTTTAAGCCTCTTTTTTGTTGACATTTTACTGATTTCACACTAGTAAACATAGTTTATTGTTCTTGTCGACCATTATGCCGATGACATAAAACTTGGAAATTTATTTTATCCGATTTTATCGTCGTCGATTAAAGTCGTCGTAGCTGAATAATATTGTACCTAAACTGTATTATTTTGTCTTCATATTTCGAGTAATTTGTAAGCTTATGGAGTTTAATTGTAAAATAGAGTAAAATATTTAAAAAAAAAATGTATTTTTATTAATTTTAAACAAAATATTTGTAATTATTTAATGTTTTTAAAGTCATCAACTTCCGAGCCCTATATATTATTATAATGTATACACATAATATTATTACACTGCCAACTATAATACTTTATAGACAGCATTTTAGGTACGATCCAACACAATTATTTGCAACCTCGTGAGCCACGAACGGGTGAAAAGGTCGAGACGGTCGAGTTGTTATCGTAGCTGTCGATCATTGTAATCGAAAACACGAAACGACGTTAAAAAACCGCACATCAACATATGCCAACACACACGTGTACATATAGTTCCGAAGAAATTACCTACCTATGGTTATCTATCGCTAAAACAATATATTATTAGTGCGAGCAGTTATTGAACTATTGATTTCTGTGGAAAAAAATTACGCTTTTCTACGTCCGCCCAGATCGGAAAATATAATATAATAATATATTAGAATATTATAACATATCGACGAGGTGTATTTTTCTAGAGAATATAAATTATTATTAAAACATTATAAAATATTACCCATTTGTTGGAGGTATTGCGTTTAATTGCGATAGTTTTAAAAACTGATATAATTTACATTTTCTGCCGTTTAATATGGAAACGCGTAATATTATGAGAGTGTAAATTCGCGTCTTAATTAATTAGGACGAAAGCGTTTACTCGGTTGTTCTCTATCTACAGTACATATTTGTCTTATACAATATTAATTTTGTCTAGTTTAAATATCAGAAAAGAGTGTGTGTATGCGCAATCGGAGCCTGGACGAGCGAAAACATGACGCACATGAATATTATAATAATATTATGACGTATTATAGGAACCTATATATACCTACCTAATATCAAGGCTGGGCATTAACGAGTTAAAAAGTTAATTTTGTTTTAACTTTTTAACTTAACTAGTTACTTTTGGCTTTTCATTAACTCAACTGTTAACTTACTAAATTTATTTTTTAATTAACGTTAAATTAACGAATTCACTGTTCATTTTAAGAAGTAAGCCAAGTTCATTTATTTTTTTTTAATTTAATTATATTTCACTACCTATTACAGTCTATTTCGTTTTCATGTCAAAAAATATATATCGTGAATTGTTTAATGTATATCATTCGAATCTAACTTATATGGAAATACTCTATAAAGTATAAACACATTAGTCTATAATTTAGTTTTGAGTTGGAAAAAAATTAAATACTCTAGCGTTGTATACACAAATTAACTTTTTTTAACTTAATAAAAAGTTAACAAGAAGTGTGTATTGATTTTTAACTTAACATAGTTAACCTATAATAAATTAACTTTTAACTTTTGTTATTGGGCATTAACTAAACTTAACTGAGTTAAAAAAAATCATCAACTTGCTCAGCCTTGCCTAATACTATATAATATTTTGTATAGACTAATAAATACACAATTATTGTAAAATAAAGAACAGAATGGTACGAAGTTCAACACAATGTGGTATTCATATACTCTAGACCCCATACACACAAATTTCTAGGTGAAATACGTAATCCGTCTCCAACGGATAACATTCTAAAATTAGCCTTTCGCGTTGGCAGCTGATCAATTGTCTATTGGCACTAATTATACAAAGAAAATATTATGATACAAATCAAAAAATAAAATAAAGAAAACATCAAAAAGCTTTATCTATACAAGTAAAAATTGCACAAAAATAATTTAATTTCGGGTTGTAAAAATAGATACTACAATTTTTTTCTGGACGGGTCGGTGGCACACAAATCGACTATGTATCAATACGCAGTAACGATTAACAAATTCCACCTGCTCTTGGTTCTGTTCTATCGAAATAGTATTATTAAGATGATTCATGTTTTTGGACCATCGATTAAAATTTAATAATAAAAAAAAAAATGTAATAAAACTCTTTTTACACATTACAGTTAAACAGGTGAAATGTCGAAATACAATTCGAACGCATTTCGCGAGAGTCAAATAGATTCTAAAATGTACAAACAATGTTTGAATTTGATCTTTGTTATTTTCGAATGATAACAATATTATATAAATGCTTAAGCTAAACAAATAAACAATCATATTTTCTCTGGACACGTTTCAAGTGGATATTTGTTGTCTATTCATGTTAGATAATATGTTACAAATAAAACATTCGTTTGGTTTGACTACAAGTTGGTAGCTGTGGTATATCTTCCATCTTCCAATTATTTAATTGTGTCCATATAATTTAATAATTTGTATAAAATCACATAAACCGACACCGAACAATGCAATACAACAACACAACGCATTTTGATATCAGTTCACTATAATTGAAGTTGTACCTACACGTCTTATATTATGTCAAAATCACAACATTTGCATAGTTATTATAACCGCCTTATCGAGGAAGTTATATTTGTATTACGGTCAATATATGCATCAGTCGCACAACAATATCAACACAATAAAGTTATATAATTTCACTGTATTTCGATTTATTCACTTAATGTACATTTATATTATGTATTACTTTTATTTTTTAAAAATATCATTACTCAATCTTCTGTGTACATATATAAAATATGTCATTGAACCATATTTATGGTGTCCAGTGTTTTATTACAATTTAAAATACAATATTATAATATCGTGAATATCTATCCCTTATTTAATACCAAGATGCATATTGTATTATAAGCTTTTTGACTTTTGATGGTAACAAAGATTCAAGTTTATCTTTATACATTATAAATAGTTTTTAAAAAAAACATTTTTTCACGACATCTTGTCGGATAAAAGAGGGAATAATTATTTTTAATTTGTTTGTAATAAAATCGTTGGTAAAATAATATTTTTAAAACACAAAAACAAACATATAATGTAGCATAGTATTCGTCGAATAAATATTTCTAAATATTATAACATACATGATAATAATATATAATAATTAATAAATAAACAAAATGAAATGCGTGAAATACTGTAGCCTGCAATGATCACTACTTGGGTATAATATTGTGTATAATTTATAATGAACAGTATAATGCGCCGTACATAATATTAGTACCTGAACAGTATATATTATTATTATAAAGGTGACAAATCACGAGCTATTCAGGTCAAATAGGATTTCTAATAGAATTGTTTAGTAACGTTGAGTGCACACCGTATCTAATTTGGTGTGATACACCGGCGGCGTAAATAAATTGTACCTACGTACTTCGATAACGACTAAATTTATTTTTCACATCATTATAACACGTTTTTAAACAATTTTGCCGATCGTCTAAAATAATATTTTGTACGATTGTTGCGATTGATAGCTCCGCCGAACCACTCGTAACGTTATTGCATTTACATAGCATATCATTATAATGAGAAATAATGAAGTGCACACAAATTATTAAACACTACAAATATAATAATATTACCTATATTAATTTACAATAAATTATGCGTGTCGTAAATGTTTGCAATAATATTGTGTTAATATCATATGACGTGACAACGGTATAATTCGTACGTCGTTCTATGAACATAAATAATATTATATACACATCGGCGTACACGCTGGATGACTTATCTCAAATATTGAGACCTGACATTCTCAATATATATATATATATATATATATATATGTGGTGGATTTATATAATTTTAATTTGGTTTTTCGTCATAATATACGAATGCATAAAGTGTTTTTGGTAATGACGGTCGTTCGATCCGTTTGAGGACCACACCACAGCAAATAGGTGCAAATAGGTGTCTCGTCACTGATATATATTATATTATAATATTGTATTATTCTGTGGTGATTCGCATCGCACACGAACGAATGAAACGTTTTACTCGATGACCTACATATTTGATATTATTATATTATTGTGTATATAGTAGAACGGAAACATAAAAAACGCATAGTGTACAAAAACAAGAAAATAATCTAACAAGATTTTTATTAATTTCAATACAAATCCGCGAACGCACTAACTTTTTCGTTTGTTGACAAAATTGAATGAGGGGGAGCCCAAAAAAAAAACTCATATACGCCTATATAGAGACACCATTAATAAATTGCCATCATGTATATATATATATATATTATATATATATATTTAATGTATGTATTAATAATGAAAAAAAAACAAAAAAAAAAAAACAATAACGACACATTGTGACTAAATAATGATTAATACGTACAAATGTGTGAATTTAATATTATATGACTACAAAATTTGTTATATGGGTAGTTCTCCGATGATGTTATATGATTATACGTAGGTGTGTTGTTTTTGTTATTATTAATTGAAAAAATTTTTTTTTGTATTTTTTCCGTATAAACGTCGAAGCATTAGACAAAAAGGAAAACTTCCGCTTATTTTACTGTGCACGAAGACTGGTTTGGCTTACCGTAACCGAGTCCTTGCAAGAAAAGCCGCAGCGCTTCACACATTTTTTGTGGTACCTCTTCCAGCACCATGCTACAGTCGGATACCTATATGGGGAAAAAAAAACAACGAAGACATAAATATATTAATATAATAAAGTCGTAGCAATAATAGTATAACACCAGCGGTATTATATAGTCATCGTTTCGAGACGTCTATATATTTTTAAAATCAACTCGTGACAGTTTTAATTAGTTTCGTCCAACGGATTTTGATGTCAAGACCAAAATTCAAGTTTACCCGAGAGCATATTCGGCCTATATTCGATGATCGTTATTGTTCGTACACTGCGGTCCGCGATCATACTTTGGAAATGTGAAATAAAATTCCAAAACGGTCGCAGGTCTTGAATAATATAGGCAGCTCGTACTTCTTAATAAATCGAGGGACGATACGGTTTCGAAGTAGGTACCTATATCATATTACTATAGCTAAATGTCTTAGATACCTAATTTCGATATTTAATAACGGACATAGCCCGTTTAGCCACCATATTACCAAAAAAAAGTAAATTCCCAAACGGCTTCCGTTTTACAAAAAGGTAAGTTCCCAAACGGCACCACTTTTTTTACCACACAAATTCCTTCCCACTTCATACAGACTTTGATTGTCTTAAAAGAGTTGTGGAAAAACATTTTTTGGTGTTATTAAATTTAAATTCTATGTAAATTTTAAAAATTATATAAAAATCGTATATATAATTGATATTGTGAATTTAAAAATATTTGATATTATAATTAATGTGTTGGTGTTTTTTTTTTCGTTTAATTTTAGTGTTTAAATATAAAATCATACTTGGGGTAAATTTGTTGAAATATTTTCGACAGGAGCCGTTTGGGAATAAGTTAACTGCAGTGAATGGGAGTCATTTGGAATGTACCGTTAATGACAATCAGGGCCTGATTGGACAAATTCGGCCCACCGAGTTTTCCGTACTTTACCAGCCCACTTTAAAAAACTGGGTCTTGGGTACGTTCTTATTTCGTGCATAGTTATTTTATTTTATTATAATAAATATAATAATTATTATCACATACATAATTAATCACATACAAATTATTCCGTGGTAAAATGCGGTAAGATGCGGTATATGTGGTATACATATAGTATATGCAACGATTGTGGCAGGCCCGCACCGTATTTGATTCGATCATATCCGAAATTAAACAGTAAAAAATGTCATTATAGTAGTAGATATTGCACGTATTAGAGATTGGACATTTACGCTGTAAGAACGCCTAAATTACACGTCACACGTCATACAAATATATTATGTTTAAAACGAGAATGTTTTGTCGCTTTTGTTTTACTATGTAGTATTAATTCTACATGTTTTTGTGTCAGTTCAACCATAATCATATCCTAGGTTAGTATTTTATTTCTATTCATTCATTATTATATAATTTCTATTAAATTTAACTATACATTTTTTACCTTTTTAAACATGCATGTGGTGTTTTACTTGCAAATGTTTGCTCAAGTTTTAAACGTACTAGTTACTTCAAAGCTCATAAAAAATAAAGGTAAATACATTTGAATTTCACAATATTGTCTTAATCATTAAAACACTCTGTACAGTCCGAGACGTAAAAAATGTAATCTTATAAATATATCAAAAGGTATATAATATAGTATATATCATTATAGTTATATATCATATAGTTTTCTAGACGTGCATGTATGACTATACATAATAATATTAATATAATGGTTTCATTACAGAATCTGATTCAGTAGTGTATACAGTTATCTTAATCATCTAAACAACCATAAGAGCTTTAAGTGGGTTCAAATTTGTCTTCGTACCTACCATATATATATATACCTATATTATGTATTTATTTGTTAATATAACAACGAACGACAGATAATATTACATTGCAATTATCACCTTCCCAATAACCATAGCTGGATATTTAACTTGAATATTATTTAAGATACATATTCGTCGATGTACTAACAGGTTTCATAGTAATTAGTAGGTATACAAACAAATAAAAAAAGTAGATTATTATACAGTCACTAGACTTTTTTGGGGGACGGTCGTTGTGTGATAAGGTAGAGCGATTACCTTGACTCAAAAACAGTGTATTATCAATATTTATTTATATCAATATGTTGGTTCGACCACTATAATTGTAAGCATATTTAATTTATGTACTTATCTGATTCGATCAGTTCAAAAGTCAATCCATATTAGCTTGAGGATTATGTAAAGTTTATATTTTCATTACAGATACATACTTTTTTAAATCAGCTATTATAGTTTAGGTACTGTTCAAGTGCCCACTATTATGTTTGCACCATGGAATAATAATAATATTCAATCGCTTAAGTAGTCAAGTGCACCAACAACGTAGATTATAACTGCGAATTTTTTGATTTTGATGTAATATAATAATGTAATATAATTACCTACTATAAACTAATCAAAATTAGTTTAACCTAACCATGTAACATAAAATCGTTTTGATATAAAAAAAAAAACCAACCGTTTCAATAACAATACGTCAATACTTAACTACGTAGTCGTTACATGTAATATAATGCGATTTTTCGTCGTTTTTACACGAATAATAAATTTGAATAGAGCCAGCGAATCACTACCTCAGAAGCGGACGATAAACTTTGAGGCTATATAAACATGTGCACCAGCCTTCCATTAGAATAAATACGTTCGCTTAGAACAATTACACGCTTTAGTTTATATTATTATTTATTATAGTGGCCCTATCGGTATATATTTTTTATCTTTCCGATTTGCATGCACCCAACTTAGAATAATGGGTTCTAGGTGAAATTGTACACGACCACGTGTATCGGGAATCCGTTCTCTGTGCGTATTAACATATACGTTTCGTCACACCTCTGTGATTTTGTGCTTCCTTAAAAGCGGCTAATGGCGATTAATCGACGAAAACGGCAGATATAATGTTCAACATTTCGCGTATGCGGGTGTTAAGTAGTCTTAATCGTTTTTAAACTTTAGGCCGGCGCACGACTCCTTCTATTACTACAGGTCATATACTGTATTTTTCGCTAGGTACACACAGGCTTTACGTCAGTATACAGCCACATGCATTTTGTCAAAACGCTATTCCAAATCAGTATCATTTCAATTATTGTTCCTTTACACTACATGCAATTTGATCGTAAAAATTGAAAAATTATGAAAGTGTTATTTTATTTCCATGTGTTGTGTCAAGTGGTAAACGTGTTGACGTCCACAAGCTCGAATAATAAAGGTAATCTGCACTGTGTTATTTTATTGTACATTGCTGTTTACAGTGTTCGCAGAAATGCATTTTGATCGTACTTATTATAATATTATAATAATAATTAGGAAATTGCGTACAAAACTCCGAACACGTAGAAACGTCATTCCTCAAGGAATTATGTAAATCGAATCCCGATTTGGAAGAGTTTATGACGGCCGCCGATATTTTGATAAGGTCCGATTGTGCTTTGATCGATTCGTGTAGAAGAGTGGTCGACCAACCTCACGACGATGTCGAAGAAGTAGACTTCATAGTGGTTGGCGGAGGAGTCGCGGGTAAGTAGATCGTTTAAAAAAACTTTCGTATACAAGTAATAATATTTAAACATTAATGTGGTATTTTTTAAGCGAAACAATAGCAGCAGCTGTGTTTTGGTAAATACCCCAACAATCTGTTTCATTTTTTTGATTTATAGTTTCTTTTGACCAAACTGTAGTTATATTGTTTCATGACAATAAACATTTAATCTTTTTCTTTTATTCATTAAGACTCAAAACAGTATAATCTACTTAGGATTTTCAAATCACAACTTAAAGTTTTAATTTTTAATTCTCAACATTTTGTCATTTTTCGAGAAATGAATCTGACTTCTGACGTATAATTAAATATAATTATAATAGCTGGAGGAATTGAGAAGGGTAAATGTTTTATACATTTTATAAGACTATATCCTTCTGATCCTATCTAAACTTTAAATTATAATACAATTATTATATCATTTGTCCTGCTGTATTAGGTTAATGTACTTAAATATGTTCAGTAAAATACCATCTTTGGTAACTTAATATTAATGTTAAAGGTCACCATTTGAAAATGTATACATGCAGTTTTAATAAATAAAGGACACAGTATACGAATAGAATAATAAATTATGAAAAACCCAGAATAGCACGTTTGTAAAAATAAAAACCAATTTTACGACCAAGCCTGAAAAACTCATTTGGCTGTATACATTACTTACTTATGACATTATTAGCTTTCCACGTTCCAACTTATTAGCATATTATTTACAAGTAAAATGTTTACCGGAGACTTTCATTTTCTTAGATAAATGTGTGTGGAATGCGGTTTAAGAAAATACCCTATAGTAGAATTTTCACTTTACTATACACCATGTTAACTCCAAATTATTCAAAATAATAACGATTTTAAGTTTTAACTCTATTATATATTTATATGGGTCACAGCTGAAAAAACTTGAAAAATACCTAACCACAAGCCCGCACTAAGACCCATATTTCTTGTAAATTTTCAGGTCCCGTAGTGGCTGGTAGATTATCGGAAAACCCTAACTGGACGGTGACCCTTTTCGAATCCGGTCCTGAGCAACCGGCGGCCATCGACATACCAGCTTTGCTGAGTTCGGCAATCGCCACGAAATACGATTGGCAGTATATTACGACGCCGCAAAAACACGCTTGTTTGGCATACGGTGGAGTGTGCGGTTGGCCCCGAGGAAGATTGTTGGGAGGAACAGCTTCACTGTCGGGTAAATATACTTCAAACTCCACGATGACGGTGTCCGTCTGATCATTTGAAAAACAAAATATGGCCAAGCCGCCAAGGGTTGAGTGTACGGTCTACGCATTAGTAGTGGCTGGCTAATGTACAATGTTGACGTACATGCAGGTTAAACGAGCTACAATTACGGATGAGTATGATACTTTAGTAGGAAGATTCCAAAAGAATTTTAACACATTTCTATATAATTATACACACATACCATAATATACAGCAGTGTATTCCATTCTATTGGATATGTTTTCAAAAGTAGGAAATTGTTTTGCAAACGATTTGTGTTGAAAATTTACACGTTTAGGTTAATTATTATTATTATAATATTACGTTTCTAAAATTTTACATCACTAAAATACCCACTATCATCGGTGACTTGCAGTTTGAATGTGCAACATAATAATATGGTCAACAAATTTTTGATAAATATTATAAATTGAAACAAACTTTATTGTGTTCGTGTGAGTAATTCGTATACTTGTACCTAAGTAAGCATTTCGAAAAGTGTTCGGATGTTTGATCTATAAACGACGAAGAATACAATAAATAATGTTGATAACTTTTAGTTAAAAGTTATACTTAATTTAAATCGCAGTTTTTTTTCTATTACGACGGCACTGCTACAATAATTATGTATACATAATATAATATTAGAGTTTCTGTTATCGACAAATGACCTGAGAGCAACAACACTATATGACCAATTAATACAGTTTTTCAGGAGGCACTTGAAAATGCTTTAAAAATTAACATCAAATATACTTAGATCTAACTTAAATTTGTATAAGTATATAATATTATTGTTAAAATTAAATTTGTATGATGTCGAAATCAAAAAATAATACTCGGGAGTTGTCTTGTTGTATTAAAATAAAAACTAGACACCTCCCTTTACAACATCATATAAATGGAGATGTTTGGTTGTTGCCACAAACGACTTGGTTTTTTTTTACTTAATAATGTGAAATACAAAACTTATTTTTACCAAAATATGGAGATCTCATATGTTGTTGCTCTCGGGTCTTCAACTAGAGGCGGGGTAGGTCGAAATCAAAAAGTGTAGGACACACTAATTTTAACAGAAACTTGTACGAACAAATCCCCAAATACCGATCTAATCGTATAACATTCAACCCTGTTTAAGGTTCGATGTACTCGAGAGGGCACCGGGACGTTTACGACGAGTGGTTGAGGGACGGTAACGTCGGGTGGGGATACGACGACGTATTGCCGTTTTTCAAGATGTCCGAAAACAACAGGGACTACAACACGGAAATCCACGGGACTCGGGGACCGATGCCCGTTCAAAAGCCCACGGAAATTTTGCCGATAGCTCGAACGCTGATGGAAGCTGCGAGGGAATTGGGGTACTCGGAGATGGACATGAGTGAACCGGACCCGATGGGTTTCTCGATCGCGCAGCTCATGATCAACAGCGCAAAGGTCCGGGTAACGACGCCCACGGCTTACCTACGGCCATACCTGCGAAGCCGTGGACACCTGCGAGTCAAGATCAACCGCCACGTGACCAAGCTGCTGGTGGCCGCAGACCGGCGGTCGGTGCACGGTGTAGAGTACGTGGACAGCTCAAACCGTACCAGGCGGCTGATGGCCAGGAAGGAGGTGATCCTGTGCGCGGGCGTTATCGGGTCTGCGCACTTGCTCATGCTGTCCGGCATCGGGCCGGCAGAGGATCTGCGGCCGCTGGGCGTGCCGGTGGTGCAGGACTTGCGGGTGGGCCACAATCTGCAGCATCACGTCGCTAGCAGGTTGGGCTTTCAGCTGAACGTAACGCACGACCGGATGCTGACGTACGAGGCGATCGGCCAGTACATGAAGCAGAGGTCCGGTCCGCTGTCCACGACAGGCGGCCTCCAGGTGTCCGCTTTCCTGCGGTCCGCCCTGGCAGGGCCCAAGGACCCGGCTGACGTGCAGTTGTTCTTCGACGGCTTCTCGCCGAACTGCGCTTACTCCCAACCGGTGTACGGCGGGTGCAAGGCCACCGCAGACCTGGTACGCATGAACGTGAGGCCGGTGAACGTGCGGCCACGGAGCCGGGGCACCATCCGGCTGGCTAGCGCCGACCCTTTCGTCCGGCCCCGGATCGATCCCAATTACTTGGCCACAGAGGAGGATGCCGACGTGCTGGTGTGGGGTCTGCGGCTGGCCAACGATCTGGTGCACACCAAGGCCCTGCAGCAGCTGGGTGCCATTGTCGACCGGTCACCCATCGACCACTGCAACAAGCACACGTTTGCCACCGACTCGTACTGGCGGTGCCTGGTCCGGTACCACACGCGAGGCGAGAACCACCACGCTGGCACGTGCAAGATGGGCCCTGCCTCCGACCCGACGGCCGTCGTCGACCCCGAGTTGCGTGTCCACCGCGTCCGAGGCTTGCGCGTGGCCGACGCGTCCGTGTTCCCGACACAGCCCAACTGCAACCCCATCGCGCCCGTCATCATGGTCGCCGAGAAGGCAGCGAAGTTCATCAAGAACACGTGGCGCTGACCACCTAGACCGCCCCGAACATAACCGGCTTAGGTATACCGGTACGATTCGTGGTGCAGTCGACGGTATCGCGGGGACGTCCGTACGACGATGTTGGTATATATTGTAAATTTGATCATCAAAATATAACTTCAATTAATTTTCCAATCTTTTGTACATCTACTGCAAAGGCCATTATTTACGTATCAACCGTTTAATTCAGTATTCCATTTTCGTTATATAAAATTATAATTATTTATTGATGGAACATTATACATCATAATATTGCAATAATATTGTATTATATCACTAAAAGAACCTATGCATGTTTCGCTTTCGTGCGAATTTATAAATTGTTATTATTAAATAGAAAATAGTAAATACAATTGTAACTTCTGTCATCTGTATTATATGCAAGTTTATTACACTATTTAAAATTATATTTTACTTAATAATTATTATACTTAGGACTATAACTTGTATAGCACAGTCATCATTATGCGAGCCATCTCAGCGGTTTCTCAAATAATCATCGAAATATATCTTTCATAATAGTTGCTAATAACATTTGTAAAAATTACGCATACTATATATATATATATTTCTCACATATAGTTTACCTCATTCGATTCGTTGTACATAGGAACTTATAAAAGTATATTTATACGTCATTCAACTCCACAGAGCTAATAACTTTTATTTTTATTTTTTGATCTGATGAATGCTCCGAGGACGACGTTGTCGAAATCAGAAAAAATAACAATAAATAGTTTCAAGTTTTTTCTCAGCATGATAGTTTGTGCCGTATATACCTCGCACAAATGACGAACCGCCACCGTTACAGTGCCCTAAATTATTAACGCAAACAACAACGCAGGGTTTATTTTAAGATCTTATTTCCCCCTTAAACGAAATATTTCTGCAGTTGTTACTGAGAAGGAAATTTGATAGTTTAAAGTATGGTTGTAATCCCAAAGGGAGGAAACACGAAATTCTCGCGTTACCATAAGAACTCGAGTTACAACACCGATATACCAGCACGAGCGCCTATGATTTATTTATTTTCGATGGCGATTAAACAACGCCAAAACAAAAACCTACCCCGAGAGGAAAACGGGTGAAAACACTTGCAGAATTGAAGGTGTGGATTTCAAATTGATATGTGTCTTACGATGAGTATTATTGGACCACGAGCGTATTATTTTGATAAATAATATTATACAGGCTTAAATGGGTGTCCTATAATAACCACCGACACCTAGTCGATCTCGAGTTTAGTGATCGCGTAATGGACAAGTCATCTGCCATATTGTGCTACGAACGAGGATTTACTTTTTTCCTGCTGATAAAATATTATTGTATAGTTTTAAACTATACGATAAAATATTATTGTATCGTTTAAAACTATAGCTGAGGCGATGTCTATTGCCAATTATTTTCCTCTGCGACGGTAATATTTGTTTTGTGTTCGATATTATATACGACAAAACTATATTGCGACACAATAATACTATTATTATAAGAAAATTTACTCTATAAAAACCAATTTAAGTGAAATACTTATACTATACAAACACAGTAATATTAGATTCTCAAGTGCATCTCAAAACGTACTTTATTGAATGTACCGAATTACAAACAAATATTACCTAGATATAGAGGTACCTTAATTTGTTTTTTTTTTTGTTTAAGATTTTAGTTGTTAGAACAATTGATATATTGTGTGGCTCAGTCAATTTATCATTTACCTATTGTTTTTTTTATCATTTATGATTTTTCAAATAATTTCTTATTGTTGCCCGTCCCTTTTAAAAACATTTGAACAGTCAAATTATACTAAATTACACCAGTTTTAGATCAACTTAAAGTGAATGAAAAATATAGGTATATTACGTATAATGAATAACTTACAAAAAAACACGGGGAGTAGAGGTTGCCTAAACAAAAATCTAAAACCTAAATCGATGATTATTGATATCCAGATGCACACAATGTCTAGTAATAACATTAGGTATACACAATATTATACAGTATATTAATTTAGGAAGTTTGTAACCATAGTCCATGATGTAGAGCTAATATTTAAATACAATTTTAATAATTCTATATAATTTGAATAATTGCCTCTATTTTACCTATATTTAGTTTTTTTTAAAAAAGGGTTAGTGACTTTCCAATTAATTACAACACTGTAATATGGAATTATAATATAAATACCAAAAAATACCATGCCACCGTATAAAAATTATCTGAGTAAATTCTCCTACATTAACTCAACTTCATAATATCAAATAAAAGACATGTACCATTGCATGGTTTTATTAAAATTAATGTGGAATTCAATAAAAAGAAAAAAAAATGAACGCTGTTTTTCTTTTTATTATTTAGGACGACCTATTTTCTTTAATATATGTAATACTTCAAGTACGTACAATACGCCGTTTTAGTTTAAGGTATATTGATTTGGGGAACTTTATGAAAATATTTTCATTATTTTAAGAGAGTCTGAAGTGATGTAAGTAGGACTAGTTCCCAAAGTCCGTGTCTGCGTCAAGCAAGCGGTCTAGTTTGTATTTTAACATAATTTGTAACACGGCACACTGTATAGGCAATATAAGTACATTTCTGCGATATTGCTGTATTTTCGACAGCATAGAATACGCCAAATAACAGTAAGTTCATAAAAAGTACAGATGGTATGATATTACAAATGATATAGATTGGGTGTTCAACTTAATGTTAGGCTTTCAACTCGCTTCGCTCCTGCCTTAGTCCTATATACATAAGTTGACATCGTATATAAGAGTTTCAACGCTTATAAAGCTATTTTCGGGGTCAACTTAACATTTTTAAAAATACACTAAGATGATCGACGCATAGCTACTTTGTATTAGATTTTTCAAATCAAACTTACATGATAAAAAAAGTAACTTTTAACAAAGATTTTTCTCGAAAGTCGATTATTTAACCCGTTACCGTTCTTTAACTCATTTCTGTTTTCTGTAAACGGATGAAAAAGTCCAAAATATTGTCTCTGTAACCTAACATATTCGGTTTTATATTGTCGAAGTCGAATACTCGAATGTCCAATATTCGTGTATAGGTAAACGACCAAAACGATACATTTCAAGCACACGACTTATGTACCAGAAAACGGTAGCGCGCACGAATCTAATAACGGAATACCGATTATGCGAAACCCGCAACCATAGCCAGGTTATGATCGTTGACCATTTCGTGCCAGCGTAACCGTTTATCGTTTAAATCAGCGGTTCTCAAACTGTGGTACGCGTCCACTGGTGTTATGCAGAAAACTATGAACTTGTAATGCAGAAAATGAATAAATTCATATGTTTACTAATATTCGTAGCAGATCCGAATTATATATTTTGTGAAAATAATAAAATATACTGATGATTGTCAATCATTCATTTTATAAATTATCATTGTAATGAATGTATTGACATTATCAATAGTTCTAATTTCAGTCATTAATCATTAGTGGTACACTAACCTAACTGGTACATAATAACTGATCAGTAATACACATCTTGAGTGATGTGTGGTAAAAAAAATGTTTGAGAACCTCTGATTCAAGGGTATTATCATATATGTATTTAACCCGTACTATATCTATTTGATGGGAGGGGGGTTGCTCACCTTCATCCACGACGACTTGGTCGGATCCAGTCTCGAGTTGAGCGTCACCGTGTCCTCCTGGTGGGGAGACAGAGCTCCGCACACGTTGATGATTGGCATTTGCAACGTGGTGGCCATGCTGAGCCTGCGGCCGGCTGGGCATGACTCGGACGTGGGCGTACTCCTGCTGATGCCCAGGTCCGTCCGTCTCACGTACGAGTCGATGAATGCGGCCAGGTTGCCCGGGTGGACGCTGTGCTCGAAGTACTCGCGGTACACTCTGGCCAGATCGTGGTTCCTCTCCTCGGTTCCCTGTGAAAACGGAAGAACAAAAAGTTTTATAACGACCGAAAAATAAGATATATATATATATTTTTTTTTATTAGTCCATTGAGCTGCTTTTAACTGTGTGGGAGGGTACTGTAGGTTTAAACACGTTTACCCAGTTTGGCCGGTTTTTTTGCGTGAACTCCTATAGGTATCTGCCATATGCCCGGGTGGGCATGATAAAATAAATATATATCATGTAACAGATAGAACTAAAAATTGTATCAATCGATATTTGTTTTATACGATTATTAATAATAGTATGCACATTAAAATGTATTTTTGTAAATTAACCATAACCAAAGTTATTACATAGTAAACCGACTTTATCAGTTCTTTCTGTAAGTTTGGACCTATACCTACATGGGGTTTGATAATATAATGGTTACATCGAGCGTTGTGTGTATACATATTGTTCATGTCATACATTATTTTATGATAAAAAATTTTTAGCACGTCGTATAATGCACTTAAGATGGTCGATACGATTATATGCTGTTGGATACTGTATAACTAATTATTCGAACATTAAAACTTAAAAAAAATTATGTGATATCAACTAGCAGAAAACATTTTTTTTTTTAGAGGGTCTGGCATTTAAAATATTATATTTTTAGCAGCTATAATGTATTCTTAATTGCATGTTTTTGCGGATTAGCGTCCTCATGTCACTATAATGCTTCCCATATATTGTGTACACTATACATTATATTATAATGATACTTTATAATGTTTTTCCATACAACATAGTAACTGTATGATATTATGAAAAAACAAAATTTAAGGATTTAAATTCAGAAATTAGGAGTTAACAAACAAATATCTTTTGGGAAGGTTTGGAGTCGTGCCAATAGTAGTATAATATAAATCGATATTTTTGAAATCACTCGACCCTATAATATGCGTACACTTATATAATGTTGATATTATTAGAAACGTTGCAGTAATTCACTGCAGTAGTGTCGATTGGTGTGAGAGAGAGAGACAAAGGATTGTGCATTTGTGATTGTATTGTGTCGGATCCTAGCTTGTCCACGCCCTACGCAATAATATAT